TAAAAATAGATAATTTCGATGATTCTGATGAAGCATCAACATCACTGATGGAAGCTGTGAGGATGAACTTAAAAGATTCATATAAGATAAATAACAAGACAATATTTTGAAGTTTTAGAAGCAGGAATATTCATTTCTTTTTTTGAGAAAATTATGGAGTAAAATTTTGTCAGCTGCAAGTTCAGCTTCTAATAAAAGGTTATTTTCGGTAGCCAATCTCTTATTAGAGAAAAGGCCTACACAATTGAAATAAAAAAAGATGGACATTCTTCTTTTTCTAAATAAATTTCGATTTATTGATTGTATTTATTTTTGTTATTAATATGGATTAAATTAGAGAAATAAATAGAATGAATTCAAAAAAGTGTGAAAGTTTTGAAAAATTTAAAAACACCGTGAATTTTCGGGCGTGACGGGCGTGAATCAAAATATTGCTTGTCGTGAGCGGGCGGGTCGGGTCGAAATGTTTTTAGTGGTAAGCGTGAATGGGCGTGAATATTTTTTATTGCCACCGTGAGCGGGCGGGCCGTGAATATAAAATTAGGCCCTCCCACCTCTACTTGGAACCTCAAAATTAATAAAAGCTTGCACCTAACTTGGGAATATCTTTTACAAATTATTAAGGGTTGCGCTGGGCTTGATAAACTTTTTAAAATTTATAAGATCTTGGATGCTTCCTAATATTGTGAGCTTGGATCTGGCATGACATCTATCGTAAAAAATTGAATAAAAATCTCATTCCCCGTTATTTTTGACGGGCTTTCTACTAGTATATTGATTATAACAAACCTTTGCCATCAAGCGCTCCTGTGGAGCGCTGTTTAGCAAAGCTAAACATGTGCTTAATGAAAGACTTTGATGTTTAAATGATAATACTTAGAAATTTTTTTTATTATTAAAATCTAATTTTAATTATAAATAAATATACTCTAATTGTTATACTTAGATTATATTATTCAATTACAATAAATTTATTCCATACATAATTTATTTTTATATTAGTTAATTTTGCATCGATCAGTAATTTCCTTCAGAAATTTTAATAAGAAAAAGATCGTGATAGCGATAGCGATCCTTTTTTTAAAAAAAGGTCGATCCTGGATTTCGATCCTCTTTTTTTGAAAATATCGTGATAGGGATTCGATCTTTTTAAAAGGATCGATTAACAAGCCTGGATATACGATATAAATAAAATTAATTTGCGAAATAAATAAGATTAATTTGAAATTAAAATAAGATTAATTAAAATTTATTATACGGTCAAAATGCTTGTTATAATTTCTTAAATATATATTCAAATTAAATTTTTTGATGTTATTTAATTTTTTTTATTGACGTATAATATGCCCATTTATAAATAGTGTGGGTAATTATATTTGCTTGAAGCATAATTGCCATTGCAACTATCTCCACCTCTGTTCCATAAGTTGCATTTTAGGACATGCCTGTTCTCTCCATATATACGTCAACGGGTTCTCCCAAAAACTCCTCCATTTGTTCAAGCATATCTTTGCTCCTCATAGAGAGAATGCATTGCTGACTCCGAAAATCATAGTGGCATTCGTCATTACAAACTTCTTTACATCAATAATAATGATTAACAATTTAATTTATTGAAAATATATATACCTGAAAAGACAATTTCCATCACCAATAATCTGCTCGGTAGAAAAATTATCTCCCATCACACCATTATTAGATATGTTTTCTTTATCGCAAAATGAAAGCGTTCAGAATGATAAATATTCTAATTTATGTTGGTGGGAAGAAAAAGATTTGCAACATCTTTCTTGGAAATTACAGTCTCTACTGTTAATTCATTATCTAAAAAATATGCATAATTAAATAATAATACAAATTTTCACCTTTCGCAATAAACAGGCCCATTATGTCAATTACAGTTGGTACATTAGGATTAGGAGGCATAACTAATAATTTAAAAAACAAATTAATATCAATTTATAAAAATATTACTATGCTATTTCCTATATGGCTACCAGGCTTTACCATCTTCGTCTCATTATTTAATATCATAACCCTCTTAAAATCTGCATCGTCTAAAAAATACGTATAATAATAAATATTTTATATTTTTGGTCTTCACAATTCTCATCCACTTCTCCAATAATCTTGTTGAGTAATTTTGAGACTAAATATTTTTAAAAAAATAATGGGAGTTTTAAAAATTAATACCTTTCATTTTCTTGGGCATTTAACTCCTCATTTATCTCACTACTTCAGAGTTTTTATCATCTAGGAAATATGAATATTACTAAGTAATTAAGACAATTAATTATATACCTTTTCTTGCAAAGTAATGTTTTATATTACTTACATTTGTTTTGCTCTTTAAAAAGCTACCACTAGCATTTATGAGCTCAAAATTGCCTAGATATTAAAATTAATTTAATAATAATGATAAATTTTACTTATAAGAATAATTATTTTATAAGGACCCATCCAAGGCCTGGTTATTTTACCATCTTTTTTTATCAGCCCAACGGCTGTTCCAGATAATCACTTGATAATTAACTAAATACCCTACCAGCATTACGACTTTTATAGTCCCTCTGTTGTTTAAGCTTAGCAATATCTATATTACTAGCAGCTATCTCATGAATATCATTCATCCTGCAAATTTTAACTTGAAAACAAGATTCCAAATATGCTTAAGGGACATTGTCAGGATCTATATCCTTTTCCTCGTCAACCTTAAATAGAGACATAATATATAATATATAAATGATATTTATCGTAACCCATAAGCTTGTTTTGCTTTTCTACTATACATCAGCTCATAGGGAGTAAATTTTAATGATTCATGGGGAGGCGTATTATAGGCAAATATTATGCCAGGCAAGGCATCTGTCCAAATTAATTGATCACCCTTAATATATAGTAGTGCATTTTGGATGGTCCTAGTCACTCTTTCAACAATGCCCTACGAGTTTGTAATAATTATTGCTTATTTCGTTCACAAACTCACTTCCTTGATTATTAATTTGAATCTAAAATATAATATTAATATTTTATTATCAAATTTATTATACTTTTGTTCTTCCATGTATGCATAGAAACGCTATACCGATCTGTTTTATCTTTTAAAGGCATGGCTACAATATATTTGCTGAAGTAATCAACTGCTCATCAATATAATTATAGCCATCCTCACTTTCAGGCAAAGCACTTAAATCAACCCCCATTTGTGTTCATACCTTTTGTTAAATTAAAGATTATTGATATATTTTATACTCTATTAAGAAGGGAATTAACCTCATAAATTTTAGTGTGCTAAAAATAGAAATTAAGACTAAGATAAATTGCCATCTATCTGATTTATGAGTGAATACCTTAATTTACTAATTTATTTATGTAATATAAAATTTATGAATGTTAATTCAGTGTTGGGTGTCATGATATAATAAAGTAAAGCTGCTCACCACTATTTATGATTGCAGCTGGAAAAATATAATAATATAAGATAAAATAAAATAAAATCTAAACTAGCTAAAAAATGAAATCATGATATATATTAGAGGTCTGCATTGAGCGGGTAAAATATTTTTCGAGAACGGGCAGGAGGGCTGGTTAAAAAATTTTGAACCTATGGGTGGGCGGGTTAAGTAATTTAAACAATGGATGGGCGGGTCAAAGATATTTAAAAAAAAATCATAATTATTTAAATGATCAATAACAATATTTCTTTTTTTATTGTACCAATCGTTTTTTTTAAGTGAAGAACACTTTCCTAACTATATTATGTAATAAACACAAAACTTTTTTCTTAAAATAAAAAAACTTTTTTGTGTATCAAAAATTAAAATTTCCTTTTAAAAACATTTCTTTAAAAATAAATAATCATTTTTGGATATTGAAAATTAAAATTTCATTTTTGGGTCTGCAATCTGCATTGTATTATTTTATTTTAGTTTATCTTTATATTTGCCTTTTTCATAATTTTATTTTTTATAACATAAATTTAAAAAAAAAATTTTTTAATTTAATTTTTATTTTAAAATTATATTATGAAATAAGAATATATATCTAAAAAAATAAAAAATAATTTTTGCAAGTTAAAAGATAATGAATTCGACAATAAACTCAAATCTTTAATGTGGAAACAATTAAATCATTTTCGATGAAAATGACAAAAAGCTAGATTGGATTCGCTGCAATGATTGCGAATCTATCTATAAATATAATAACAAAAGTGGCACATCCTTCTTCATTCAGCATGTAAATTATGAAGATTTGATAGATAATAAAAAATAACCGGATATTATCAAAAAGACAATTCTCAATTAAACAAAACGATAAAATTGGGTCTAATTGCCAATTAATAAAAGTGTAATGCTGAATTTTTTTTTTATTAGATGCTTAAAAATTGAAATAATGGCCACAATTAAATTTTATAAGCGGGCTTGGGTTAAAATTTTTTTATAAATAATGGGCGGGCGCAGACCTCTAATAAATATATCAATTGTTACCTGAGATTGAAGGGGACTATATTAATTTTATTTATTATATTTTCAGATTATGTATAAGTTCTAATTGTTAGATTATATGCCAAGTATATTTTTATTTTAGACTATGTTATATTAACCATTAGTTTTATTTAATAATATTATAGAAACTAAAAAGTAATATAATATATATTTCTTGTAAACTCAAAATAGAAGGTATAAGTTATAATAAAATTTAAATTGTTCAATAAAACCAACATAACTAATAAAAACAAGTGCCACATACATATAAGCTATAATAGACAGACCATTAATAAGGCTAAAAATGAAAAATACAAAATACATAAAAATTAGATATAATTAAAATGACCAAAACTATAAAAAATTTCAATTAAAGTTTTGTTATAATAATATGTACTAAACTTTTATTTTTATTTTTACTCAATTTATATTATAAATTGTTATTATGAGTTTGCAGCTATGTTTTATAACCGGTTCGTGAGAAAATACAATTCAATTTAGTTATTCTATATTATAATTTCCCGATGTCCTCACTATGTCATGTCATCAGTACGTTTTTATTTATTTATTTGATTTTTATTTTAATATCTATACTAACAGATGAGCCAATAACTTCAGTTAACCATGCAACTGTACTGTAGGATGATAAAGTAAAACCTTAAATATTCTTTTAATTTATCTTTACAAAATTTTACAAATCATTTTAATTTATTTTTTACAAAATTTGCATAATATTTTTATTATATTAATTATAAAGCTATGCAAGATCATATTACCACTATCACTCAAGAAGCTGCTATCAGTGAAAACAATTATTCACCAATTCAATGTAAAATACAATATTCTACCAATATTTTTACTATATCAATTATAAAGCTATTCAAGATGATATTACCACTCTCACTCAAGAAGCTGCTATCAGTGAAAACAGTTATTTACCATCAATCTAAAATACTATATTATACATAATATTTTCATTATATCAATTATATTACAATATTCAAAATTAATTTTCTTATTTATTTAATTTTTAAATAGATTAATCATCATTTAAATTTCAATATTTTTTTTTTTAAAAAGCATTTTATAAATTTATAAAATCAAATTATAATAATAACCTTTTATACTCTAATAAATATTTATATATTAATGATAAAGATATATATCATAAATATCATTTATAACATTGTAAAGGGAGGGGAATTTTAAATACACAATTTATTAAGGGTGGCTATTTTCATTTTTGTCAAAGTGTTGTTAGATGGATTTAGCAACAAGGATGTGCCCCCCCCCGGTTTAAATTTCCAAAGTGGATAATAATCCACTACACTGGATATGCTCTCTAAAGGGTACTAATACTGGCTGTCCTCTACAGGTTTTATTTCAATAAAAATAATAATAAGTTGTATTTATTCTTTCCTTTTTCTTCCTTTTTTCTTTTCCCTTTCCTTGTTCCTTTTCTACCTTTTTTCTTTACCTTTCAATTTTTATAGGGTTATTAAAATGCTGATTTGAGTCGATTTACAAAAATGATTCTATTATTATTTTAGAAAAAATAAAATTATATAAGGTTTGGCAAAATATATGTGTAAACATTTTTGCCATCTACGAGCAAAATCTTCAGTCCTAATATTATTTTGGCCAAAATAATTAGGTTGTTTTTAAAAATCGACCTAAATCAGATTTTTAACAATCCTACCTCCCCCCTCCCCCTTTATTTTCATTACAACCTTTCTTTCCCCTTTCCTTTACTTTTTCTTTCTCTTTCCCTTGCCTTTCCAGATTTTATTTCCTTTCTACTTTCCTATTTTCTTTTCCTTCTCATATCTTTTCTTTCCCTTTACATGTTTTTCCTCCTTTCCCTTTTTCTTTTCCTTGCTCTTTTTTTTCCTTACCCCTTTTCTTTCCTTTTCATTTTTCTTTCACTTTTCCCTTTTAATCTATTTTTTCTTTCACTTTCCCTTTTTTTCTATTTTTTCTTTCACTTTCCCCTTTTCTCTATTTTTTATTTTACTTTTTCCTATTTCCTTTTTTCCTTCCCTTTCCCAATTCCTTTCATTTCTCCTGCTTCTTTTTATTTTTCTTTTCCCTTTCTTCCTATAATTCTTAGAAAAAGTTTAATTCCAACTGATTCTGGATTTCTATTTTCTTTCAAGCACCCTTAATTACCCATTAAAAGTTTGATAAAAAAGGTAAAGGTTCTATCAAAAAGGAAAAGATCCAATAAAAAGGGGAAAATTTCAATTCAAAATGGCAAATCGTTACCTTTTTAAATATTTAAAAACAAATTATATTCTCTACGATCCTACATTATAGAAAGCTTGCCAAAATGGTTCTCCAAACAATATTTATCTTAATTCACATATATACTTATTATTTTGCATATAGTAAATATTTTTACAATTTTTTTCTCATGGTTCTTTCTCAATAAAACTAGCCTACGAAAATAAACACATTTATATTATGGCAATACATAAATTAATAATATTTTTTTAATATCCATTCTTAACCCCATATCCATATATTTTTTATTTAAACTCTTATATCTCCTGATTTGTGATCCTTTGCCATTTGTTATTCATGAGAATTTCTGATTTCATGTCATTTATAATTCCCAGGCTGCACTTCCTCCAGCCTAAGGCCGGGTTATGATAAATTAATTAGAAATTTAACTATCTCGGGGCTTGGGAAAATCTTTTACAAATTATTATGGGCCTGGCTTGGAATAATATTTTAAAATTATTATGGGTTGAACCAGGTTTGAGAAATTTTAAAATTAAATATTTTCTAGAATTATTAAGGTCTTGGACGCTTGGAAAGTTTTTAATATATAATATGAGCCAGACATTGGCTAAAAAAAATTTTCCCAGGTCTGGACCGGGCCTGATCAAAAAAAGGACCATGAGGATCTCTGATTAATGTATTACGATATTTTAAAATTTTATTTTAGTTCTGAACTACTAAAATTATTATGGTCCCCGGGTGGAGAAATTTTTAAAAATTATTGTGGGCTTGATTGAACCTGGCTTGGGATTTTATAATATTAAATATTAGCCATAGGGAATCAATAATATTTTAACAAAGAATTTTGATTTGGGTTGAAAGATAATTTAAATATATTTTCAATCAATAAATAGTATTCACTCTTAGTATTAAGAGTTGGACTTGACCTGAAGGGGGGAGGTAAAAAGTATAAAATTATGGTTTTTAAATAAAAGGTAACATCTTTCATAAAAGAACGAAGAAAATTTTCATTCCCCGTCATTTTTGACGGGCTTTCTACTAGTTTTAATAATAAAACTGTTTTTTTCTTGATTAATTAAATTTTTATATTTAAATTGAGCTAAATTCCTACTACTAATATCCATTCTACAAAGCAATTCCTCGTAATACAGACTACCAATATTTTATTCTTCATTAGGTTTTGTTATGTAATCAACTTTAAAACCTTTGCTGGCATCGTAATTGAATGCAACTCATTGCTGGTTTTATCAAATCTTATGTTGCTACGCTGGAAAATGTTACAACATTTTACAAAATTAACGTTTGACTACCAAAAGCTAAAAATATAATACATGATTTAGCAAAAATATTTTATCTACTAGCCAATTAGCTTTGAGACTTAGTGATACTAAAATGGTCAGCTAAAGGTTTTGCCTCATTAGTATCACATCCACTTCAATATAACTTGTTCAAGGATTTAAGCTCGTCTGTTACAATCTAAAATTGTTTCACCATTATAAGAAAGGTGAAACAATTTACTATTGTGTATTATATATAAAAATATATTATTGATCATATAATATATTATTTATATATATTTTAACTATTAGCCAATTTGCTGTAAGTCTTGGAGTTACAAAAATGGGCAGCAAGGGATATTGCTGACACATTAGTATCACAGAACTTTTTTAAGAAGTTGAATTCTTCGGTCATGCTCCAAAATGCTTCACCTTTATGAGAATGGGGAAGCATTTTACCATTGCGAATTGAGGCCTATACTCGCAGATTGAGTCGTAAACTTTTTGGAAGACATCGATGGTGGATATTTCTGATAAAGGATATTATCCCATCAGTAGCGTACGCAGGAATTTAGTGTGGGGGGGGGGGATAATTAAAATTTTTTTAAATAAAATTATTGTTATTTAAAATCAAGCATAAATTTATTAGGACTAATAACTATTTCTAATATACAAATTTAAATTAATATGAATTATAAAAAATTAAATATATAAACTGGTATATAAAAATAAATTTGATTTAAAAAATATTAAACGGATATAACCGGCGGCATATAAATACTTTAAATAAATCTGAATTATAAAATATTAAGATATAACCAGGATATGATGACTATAAAATAAATAATCCATAATAAAAATTTAAATTTTTTTGAGCCTTTAAAATTTATATATAGAGTATAAAAAATCTAAATGTTGGAAATTTGAATAATTATATTTTTTTATGTAAAAGAAAAATATATAAGACATTAAAAAATGATAGCACAAAAAATATTATAGAAACATTATATTTTTATAATGTAAAATCCAATCTTCGTTGGGAGTGGGCTAATTTTTCAATTATCTCATCCGTGTTTGGCGTCAAATGCTAATGAATATTCAAAAGGGCCAGACCATTCAACCTACTTTCAGAAGTTATACTTCTTAGGTACGTTTTTAATCTTCTTAAAGAAGAGAATGTTCTCTCATTAGTTGCAGTACTAATGGGAGGAGTTGCTAATATATATAATAATTTCAATATATTGGGAAAATAATCTAAAAGATGTTTGAAATGATGCAAAGCATCCATAGCATTTTTTGGGACTATATCAACCATAGTTAATCTTTTATACCATAGTTGGCATTCAGCTAATAAAGCATCATGAGATACATTAATGTCTTCATGATAAAAATCTTTCAAATATTTTATTTTTTTCTATCACCATCTGAAAAAGGTTCAGAGGGCTTTTGCGGAAGTAATATCTGCAGATTAATAAGTGCTTCTTGATGATTTAAAAACCTTTCATTTACTTGGGTTATAAATGTATCCAAAAAAGGTATAAAGACATTTATTTTATAATATTCTTCTATTGACCCTATATTAATATTTGGACGATAAGTTTGCCTTACTGCAAGTCGAGGGAGACAAATATTGAACTCATATAGCTCTGCTTTTGATTCAACATTAACATATAAAATATGAAATTCCTCATCAGCATTAGCTCTAATTTATTCGAGTTCTAATATAATTGTCTCTGCTATTCTCATCATCTCAATCAAATCAATATCAGGTTTTTGAAAAGTATTACATAAAATAGTTGTATAATTAAATAATTTATTAATACATTCTAATGCGAAAATAAAATTTGGTATAAGTATTGAATCCAGTAACTTGCTTGCTTCTGAAGAAATATCTCTTTCAGACCATTGTGATATTTCTGTAAGAGCATTAATAATCGGCTCTTCTAACTCGATAAAAGCTGTTGCTGCTTGATGTCGAAGACTCCATCTTGTTGGACAAGCTTTTTGCAATTTTTTTCTCCTTGTTGGGCAAGGAGTTTCAGATATAATTCTGTTCAATATATTTTGACGATTGGGGTATCTAAACATCTCTTAGATACTAGATATTTTACCTGATATAAATATAGAAAATTTAATTTTAATAATTAAAAACCTAAGCATTTTGATATCAATGGTAAAGAACATGAATCCGATATTGCTAAGTTGAGTGAATGGGCAGCACAGTGGACATATATAGCGGTTGGGAATTTTTTTTAATAAATGCTTGAAGCCCAT